TATATCAAAAAGTCTGTGAATTTAATTAATTACCTAGCCATTGTATTCTAAGTGTATGCCGATTTGTTAGAGGCCCACGCATTGTTTTTCTTTTCTTCATACGGTTTTTATACTTGTTGTCAGTCACTACGATAAAAAAAGCTAAACTGATAAATACCTGTTCTTTCTTCTGAATCTGACGTAACTGCTTTAGAGCGATTTATAGTGCGCAACAAATTGATCCGTGATTCTTATCCGTCCGTTCAGGGACCAACAAATCGTAGTGCCATCTTGGCGTTTCCTCAATACCTCTGAGGTCCTCTCTTTAGAAACGGCTGTCTTAATAATCACAATTTATTTCACTACTCCCTACCTTTTTCATTGTTAATGGCTACAGTATATGGCTGTCCTTTAAACAGCAGTTCTTTCAGTCAATTCCTCTTTATTTTAAACCAACGGCTGTTTCTTGCCATAGTTTGCAGTGTCTATTAATGTTATTCATTCTTTTTTATACCTAAGGCAATCATAAATCACGTAGTAAGTTATGTTCTGAAGTTGATTCTGATTTTATGCAGTAGTCATGAAACACAGAGAACTTGTTTAACTCAGTGACACACATGGGTCAAGTACCAACTGACCCACATAGTTGTCTTTGCTTTATTTCTTTCAAGATGATGGCTGGTGCCGGTTTGATTGAAGTGTTGGCTGGAATTGCAATAAATAAGGATTTTGTTCTTTTTCCAATGCGGTCAACCTTGAAATAAAATAATATATCAGCCTCAAGTCATACTTGACATGGTATCACCATGAGTTTAAGAAGTTCAAGAAGCTATTTATCGATTGCAGACATCTCATAAATGGATTATTTTACCTGGCTAGTTACGTACAATATATATTCCACCTCTAACTTACTGCGATTTATCTGTATCGTCCTGATAATGATCAGTGCGCGTGATAGTTGATAAACGGTTGCCACATGAACCAAATAAATACCATCCATGTGGTGTCTACAACAGAATTTAAAAATGATGAACATAAATTCACTAATTAAATAAAATTCACTGTCATTATGATTATATAGTTATATACGTGGATCCTAAATGCAGTGTCTAAGTAAACCTGTCTCGCGGGGAATGAACAGTGAGAGATTAAATTTGTTCTCCAAACTCCGGCCGTGGTGGAGAACGGCAACAACCAAATTATTGGATTGCATGGCAAAGTTTGAACATATATTCTTGAATTCCTACAGGGCCAAATGAGGATGCAACTGCGTTCAAAGCTAACCAAAGTTTGCATGCCGTTTAAGACAATTCCGGCTATAACATAGACACTGTGATTATAAACACGGATGGTAAGAGCCATTGTTCATGTTACTTCCGCAGAAACACGTAAAATTGTTTTTTCATCTCTTCCCGCCTAATGAACATAGGATGGTGGATCAATTAATAAATGAGCGGAAGCTATGATCAAATGGCGCACTGCGGATCATGATTTAAACAAATGGAGAAACAAAATCATTGGCCACTTGTGTTGTCCAGGTTTATGAAATGAAAACCGATTATGCCATTGAACCTTCATCACTGAAATGAGGAAAGAAGTATTTTCAAAGTACTACAATGTTAATTTTTCGGTCCTCAAAACTACAGACGCTGAAGATTCGTTCCGTCTGCTTTATTTGAACATTTTTCAATTTCCAGTTTGATATTACGATGTTCTTGGTGCGTGAACGAGAAAAAGTTTCTCATCGAATGCAGAACTTCACACCGCATTTTCTGCCACGTTGTTGTGGCTACTGATTTATAGACATACATTTTTAGGATACCATTTAATTAGCTAAACGATAATTGCCTTGAAAAATGAATACTGAACACAACGGCTGGTGGTCAAACGGTCGCCAGAGAGGCTCAGGCAAGAGAGCAAGATCATGACAAGGAAAAGACTGATGAAAAAACACGCATTTACTCGATCCGGACGGAATGCTCGTACGGCACCCTCCGTAGTCCTGGATTCAATGGCGCGAGACTAAAAAGTGAGCAGCTGACAAGCCAGTGAGGCTTGCCTGCTTCATTGCGGATGATCCAACTGCTCAAACCTTACGCGCTTCAGATATTTTTTGCGAAGCAAACCTATGGGCAAATTGCCATGCTGTTTCTCATACCTTTGGCTGTCTGGTGAATGTGAACATAAGCCTTTAGTGTCCCATCGAAGGTAACGCTCTGCCATCGAAAGGTAAATCTGATTTTCTGTGTTGTTGGACATGTGCATTTGTCGACGCCTTCAACTCGTGAATGTTTAAATTGACGTCTGTCAATTTGTTTCACATTCAAGGAACGGACATCTTCAGATCGTTCCATTTTGAGTACCTACATTGCAGATATAATCTGTTTATAGATGCCAGACCTTCGCTATTGACTGATTATTTTCAGTTGGTGTTCGTTCTCTTTTCGAAAGG